GCTCAGTCGTTAAGCGTCTGCCTTCAGCTCAGGTCATGATCCCAGGGTCCTGGGATCGAGGCCCGCATCCAGCTCTCTGCTCAGTGGGGAGCCTGCTTCTCCCTCCACTCCTCCCCCCGCTCGAGCTCTCTCTTGCTCTCTGTCAAATAAATAAGTAAAATCTTGAAAAAATAAAAAATGAAAAAACAAATGGCATCATTTATAGAGCAGAGGATAATGGTTAAAGACAGAAATTACTTGGACAATTTGTCTCTGGGGTTTTTGCTTGTCTTTATTTGGTTCTCTTCAATAGTATTTTTTTAAATTTGAAATTATTTTTAATTTTAAATTTTTAAAAATTATTTTCCATTTACTTCTATGTACATACTTCTCCATAAAAATGACTTCAATCTAACAATCATTGGAACAGAACAGAGTGGAGGAATAAATTAAAATACACCAGGAATGTAATATATGGTAAAATACCTACGGGGACTTACTACACGGCAAACTACAGATGGAACTGAGTACAACAGCCAGATGGCGGAGAGCGTTAAAACGCAACAGCATGACTGTGTGCTCCCGTGGGAAGCCCGTGGCCAGGCGATGCTGCCCTCCCCCCGGAGAAGAGCCAAGGACCCGGCAGGCGGGAGGAGATTCACAACCTGCCAAGGGACTTCACATTCCCAAGCTCCCTCTCTTTGAACAATGAGTTACACTTAAAACGCTGCTGGGATGGACGGTCGGGCACCATCACTGGGTCTGAGAGGCCCAGCCTGCGCTTCAGCCCCCAGACCCCGAAGCGGGAGGCTGGGGTCCACCCACCTGGCTCTCTGACGGGACCGGGGACCACACTGACCAGCTTGCCATACTTGTCTCCTCTCGACTGCAGGTCAAAGTAGACGTTGCCTGTTTTATAAAGGTAATGAAGAAGTCATCATTTCTCTGAATCACCGAATTCTACTCCAGAAACCAACACTGCACTGTATGTTAACAAGAAAAATTTAAATAAGAAAAAAAAAATCAGTTCAAAAAAGAATATGAACAATTACTGAAAATTAAAAAGAATTCATCATTTCTGAACCTTAAATATCAGCATCTATCTAAGCATAGTAGCTAACAAGTAATTAGCATTTAAACACAGAATATGGCATCTGGCCTTCACGTGGCCCCTTTGCTCCATCTCTAAATCAGAATGAACACCAGCACCGCTGTTTTATAAGAGCACGCATCTTGGGGCGCCTGGGTGGCTCAGTTGGTTAAGCGACTGCCTTCGGCTCAGGTCATGATCCTGGAGTCCCGGGATCGAGTCCCGCATCGGGCTCCCTGCTCGGCGGGGAGCCTGCTTCTCCCTCTGACCCTCCCCCTACTCATGTGCTCTCTCATTCTCTCTCTCTCAAATAAATAAATAAAATCTTTAAAAAAAATAAAAATAAATAAAAAAAAGAGCACGCATCTGGACACGTCACGAATATCCAGAGGTGGAAATGAAAACCCAAGTGTAAGATCTGTGTCAAATGTTGAGATGGTTCCTTTTAGCGAGAAGGAAAAGTGTCACCATGTGCCTGCATCTAGCTCTGCACTTTACGCTATGTACCAGCTGACAGAGAAACCCGGTCTCACCCAGAAAATCTGCTCAGATCCCAGACACCTCCACACTCAAGCACCCTGACCGAGGAGCAGGGAAGGAGGTGTTGGAGCAGGAGGCCCCCCCAGGGCTGTGTCCCAGGACTGGGCCATCGGAGCCGGATCCTGACCTGGGGGGGGAGGACCCCAACTCAGGGCTCACACGCAAGCTCCAAGTTACGCTGGGGAAGAGCCAGGGGGCCACCGTGCGAGCAGCCATCCAGGAAGTCAGGACATAAGCAGCAATCTGGAAATGCCTTGTCTTTCATGGAGGAGACATTTCTCCATACCTATGTTCATGTTATCAGTTCGCTGAACAAAAACAGTTTCTTCACAAAGAGTTGAAAATTCATTTTTTTTAAAGATTTTTATTATTTATTTAGAGCGCGAGCAGAAGCAGGGGGAGTGACACAGGGAGAGGGAGAAGCAGGCTCCCCGCTGAGCAGGGAGCCGGATGCGGGACTCGATCCCAAGACCCTGGGATCATGACCTGAGCCGAGGGCAGACGCTTAACCAACTGAGCCACCCAGGCGCCCCAAGAGTTCAAAATTTAAATCACAGCCAAGCTTTTATGGAATTGTCACAAAGCCCAAATTAATGGAGTCTGCGTTAATGTCAACTTATTTTCATTGTATTTACATTAGCACTATTAAAAGCTTACAATAAAGCACTGTCATAAAGCAACAGACCAGGGGCATCTATTGCTAAGGCGCATTTGGCCCTCTGCCTCCGTGAGTCTCACTCTGGGCTGCTTGTCTCATTTCATGTCTCACGGCAGCAGGACGACAACACCTGTATTTTCCGGAGAAAACTCCAGTTCAGTCACCCAGGCCCCTTAAAAACGAGTTTCTCTTGGAGACAAAATCTAAATATAGCAAATACGGTAAAGTAAGAAAGCTGCAAACTCTGGTGTATGCACAGGGGTCTGAGAAAGGCAGCGCCCATTCCTGTGGACCCGGGGCCCCTCGCAGGGATCTAGGCGCGCAGGTGGGACCCCTGGAAGAAGGGGCTTACAGTCCGTAACCCGCAGAAACAGTGTCTGCTTGCACGCTTCATACTCTGCTGTTGACTTGAACAAGCATTACAAGACGCACACATCCCAAGTCTGGGCTGGGCATGCTAGTGGGTCATTCACCAAAAACGAGCAGTTTTTATGATCCCAGAAGGGACAGAATACGAGAGCATGAACAGCAAGCGAGGGCGGTACATGCCCGGCGGCCAGTGGGCACAGCCCAGGCACCAGAGCTGGGCTGCAAGTCCGCTTTCAGCCCCGAGCGGAGAAGAAACATCCCGGGAGGGAGAAAGCTCGGTCGGATCGTGAGGACGGGTGGGACTTGGGCGGAAAGGGCTGGAAAGGGGGAGGCGCGGCTGAGGACCACGGGGACCCCAGCGGCAGCCAACGCCAGGCAAAAAGCAGCGGCTCCCAGGCCGGCAGCCGTGAGGTGTGCCAGAAGGACGCAATCAGGCCCACCCCAGGCAGGGAGCGGCCAGCAGGAGACCCGGGGCGGGGGGACGCAGGAGGACCAGACGCGTGAGGGAACAGTCCGGCACCTCGGTCGGATAACACAGTGAACCAGAGAAGACAGTAAGCCACTCGGCAACTCCAACAACTCGCAAACACGTGTCCACTTTCTCAAGGTCCCACTGGTATTTACCCAACGATAGGTTAAGTAACACAACCCCTACCTTGTGCTGTCGGATAAGCGTGCCCATTAGCAATGATTCCTTCGATGAAAGAAATGATCTGAGGAATATTTTCAGTTACCCTCAAGTACACAGTCGCGGGGAGAACCTGACAGAAAGCAGAGGAGAGATGACCTTCCACGGGTGAAAGGCGTCGGTCGGCCACACCGGCTTTCAGCGCTCACGCCCCCCTCGTGGCGAGGAAATGCAGCGACGCCCTTCACCTTCAAGGCTGCCATGTCTTGTTTAAAATCCTCTTCATACAGATTGGCGAGAGAGGCAGGTGACACGTTCATCTGCAGAAAGACGAGGTGAGCCGGTCAGCAGGTCGGGCCCCCGCGGCTGGCCTCGCAGAAGGGCCTTTCGTTTTAGCTCCCAAACTCATTCTAGTAACTTAGCTAGTCACAAAGGCTGACTGACCCCGTTTTCTGGTTAGAGGGGAAAAAAGGAATAAACAATGTCACGATTTCTGTTACATAATTCAAAACAAAACCCCCAAACACACGAAAAAGCCTCGCTTTTCTAGGGCAAGGGCAGGCTAGCTCAATCTAGTCTACATCATAACCAGAAATTTGGGTTTCTCTCTTATCCCTTCCCCTCAGGGGGGCGGGGGCAAGAAAACCCGTCAAAAACACATGAACGAGGAACTCTAAGAAGTGTTTGGAAAGCAGCAGAGCAGGTGCAAACAAACAGTGGGCAGGTGGCAGGGCTGGGGGGACGCAGGGGCACAGCAGCCCCCGGAGACAGACGTCACATTCCGAGCGCGGGGCATCTGGGGACACGCTCCTGCAGCCCCAGGGGCTGAGGGCACACTGGCACACAAGACCGGCTCCCCAAAGCATTTTTCACTTTTCAGTAGAAAAAAACGTTCCAAGAACAAAAGAAGGACAGGTCTGGGACCCCGTGGAGCTTGCGAAGGGCCCGGGACTGCAGCCCCCGCCCCTGCAGCCCCGGAACCAGGGCCCCGCTCCACGGCCGACACACCGCAGCTCCAGCGCGGCAAGACTCCCCCTTCGCAGCGAGAGGCCCCCGCCAGCCCGCCACTCCGCGGCCACGCTCTTCCCCACCCGGGGCCCCAGAAAGGCAATCATCCCAGAAACCGCGACCACCGGGCATTTACTGAATAAATCAATCTGGTGAACAAAGCGACTCTGCAGCTGTGTGGCCGTGGGCAAGGCATGAGCCTCTGTGCCTGGGGCTTTCTTGCAACATGGAGAGGTCCCACCTATCGACCCCCAAGATTGCTACGAGGATCCGTGTGCATCTCAGAAAGACGACCGCGTGAATGGACGACGCTGTGTTCACGCCTCTGTCAGACACAGGACACCGGCTCCCAGACACACGGATCTGCATCCCCCTCCTGAAACGCAGCGCCCTGCACACACGGCCTGCAGCTGGCTCCCTCCACTACCACCACCGTCCTGCTGGCCGGCCCGGCCCGCGTACCAAGAGCCGCTCCCTGGGCCCCCTCCTCACGCCCTCTTCTTCTGCTGTGACAATGGCCAGGCCATTCCTGAGCACGGATCCAGATGCCAGACCGCTGGTCGGAGGACAGGTGCACACGCCCTGGCTGGGTACCTGCCGCCCCCACGGAGGGTGCGCTGGCCTGAACTTGACCGAGCCCCGACCGCACGGGGGTGGGGGGCACACTTGTGGACATCGGCAACATGACTGCTAACACACGCTTTCTCGCTCTAAGTTTAACATGTACTTCTCTCTTCTGAAGGAGCTGAACATCTCTCACAGGTTTAGAGCCATTCATATGAACAGTCTGTAATCACCACACCCATTTCTCCACTGACTTGTAGAGCTCTTCTTGTCCATTGGTAGGAAGTAGTTTTACATGAAAGAAAATAGCCTTTTATCTCTGATGTGAATTTCAATTACTGTCACAGTCTTTCAACTTTATGGTTAGTTTGTATCCTATAGAAAATGTCATTTCGGGGCACCTGGGTGGCTTAGTCGTTGGGCGTCTGCCTTCGGCTCAGGTCATGATCCCGGGGTCCTGGGATCGAGCCCCGCATCGGGCTCCCTGCTCCGCGGGAAGCCTGCTTCTCCCTCTCCCATTCCCCCTGCTTGTGTTCCTTCTCTCGCTGTGTCTCTCTGTCTCTCTGTCAAAATAAATAAAATCTTTAAAAAAGAAAATGTCATTTCTATATTTAGCCATCTTTTGTATTTCTCAAATCTTTTTCCCCAAATGGCTCCTGGGTATGGAAACAAATTTAGGAGAGCCTTCCCAGTATGAGGCTATAAAAAGTGCCCCAAGGTTCTTTCAGTAATTCGTGGTTCCATTTCTTTTACATTAGGCTCCGATCTGTCCCGGATCTGGTTGTTAGATCCACCACCCCTCCTGGGTTTTTTTTCCCCCAGATGCTTACCTAACTGTCAACATCTTTTACCGGATAATTCCTCTCTTCCCCAATGATTTGAAATGCCATCTTTATCACAAATTTCCATTATTTACTGTGTCTATTTCTGACTTTCTAGTGTGTCCCGTTATCTGTCTGTTCATGCTGTCTGTACAACGTTTAATGTCTACAACCTTCACAGTGACAGAAAGTAGACTGGTGAAAGCTTGGGGGCAGGGCAGCAAAGAGGGAAGGATGACAAGGGGCAGAGGAAGCTTTCGGGGGCGATGGATGGAGATGTTCATCCTGACACTGGTGATGGGTTCACAGATTTTATCATGCTGTACACCTCGAAGTACTTGGTGCAATTTATTGTAGGTCTGGTCACTCAAAGCTGCGCCAAAAAAAAGAAAATATATGAAAACAAAAAATTTTCTATAGCTTTAAAAATGTTTTAATATTAATACTTAATACTTAATATTTAATATTAATATTAATACTCTTAATACTCTTCTTTAAAAAAAAATTTTACTTATTTTTATTTGTCAGAGAGAGAGCAAGAAAGAGAGCACATGAGCGGGGGAGGGGAGAGGGAGAGGGAGAAGCAGCTTCCCGGCTGAGCAGGGAGCCCAATGTGGGACTCGATCCCAGGACCCTGGGATCATGATCTGAGCCGAAGGCAGACGTTTAACCGACTGAGCCACCCAGGCGCCCCAATACTCTTTTACAGACTTTTCCTGGCCGCATATGAACTCTAGAATCCACGTCTCTGATTCTGAAAGGGAGTATTAGGAACGTGCACACACACTCCTCTGAATGACCTAGCAAGTACCACGCTGCCCAAACATGCAAGCCCAGCTTCACAGGCGGCTTCTCCAGCTCACACGCGTAAGCCCAGCGGCCGTGGTTCGGAAACACTGAGGGGCAGTGAATTGTAAGTGGGACACCAATCTACTGCTGGCCTTGCACGGAGGAGTGGAATCATATTCTAAAATGAAACCTTTTAAACTTACTCTTTCGGCAGCGGGTCACACCATGCATCTGGACAGCGCGGCTCTCACTCTCCGAAAAACAAACCGCACGAGGCGGGAGCTGAAATGCGGTCTCAGTCTTTGATCTCAGTCACTGTCCATCCGCCCCGACCATCACAAACCATCTCAAGCTGCCTTGCCCGCAGCAAGGGCCCCCCGGCCGGGCCCTCAGCACTCAGCAGCAGCGTCCAGCCTCCCTCCCGCAAAGAAGGCAACAGGGGCCAGTGACCAGCAGCAGAGAAAGAATACCTTCGGCCTGGGTCACTCTGACACATTCATCCCAATTTTTCCTATAAAATGCGACGATGCCCATGTACCACGCCTCTCGTAGGGCTCGCCCCAGAAATCCCCCCACCGTTTTTATCCCTGACAAACTGTAACACTGTGCTGAACATCAAAGTCAAGGGAGAGATCCAGAAAAGTGTAATACAGAATTAATATTATAATATAAAATACCGTACATACAAGCAAGTGCTGAAGCAGACTGCATGAAGAGCATCGCCATCACCTTAATAGGTTGCATTAGATAAAAAATAGCCTTTTTGCCAGATACTAAGAAACAAACAGATGCTTTCATAACCATGTTTCAGATGCATGCTTCATCATCTTAAAGAGATATTGCGAGAACAACTATTCAGTGCCACGTTAGCATCCTGCCATGTGACAAGGAGGGAAATTTTCAGGTGTCAAAAATTAAATGCTCTCTACATACAGAATCTTTCAGCTAATTCTACCAACCTGTTCGTAGGCCAAGTATAATACAATTCTTAAAAGTAACAAGCTCTGCCTCCTCGCGGCATCTGTGAAATCCTCTCAGTAACTTCATTCTCGCTGCATTTACCCTGTGCCACCACCCCTCCCTCCTGAAGTCCGCCCCCCATCCTCACCTGCATCCGAGCCCCTCAGCCCCTCCCCTTCCTTTCCCACCAGCCGTGCCTCCAGCCTCCCAGCAGGCCTTGCAGCTCACAGGTCCACCTCCGAGTCTGAAGATTCACAGCAGAGCCCGATTCATCAAGTGCAGGGACCCAGGTGCGTGGTCTCGGACCCCGCTGAAGGGGAGGACTGAGGACAGATGAAACACTCACCTGGGTCACCTTCCTCCATAACCAACGCCTCCCGCGGCAGTGTCCCTTACAACCCCGCGCTCACCAGGCCAGAGACCACGGCTTGCTTGCTACCAGCTACACCCTGCCCGCAGCCAGAGAGGGCCCCGTCCAGCAGGCCTTCCTGCTCAGCACCCCTGGGGTCAGCCTTCCCTCCCAGCAATGGCTCCGGACCCCTCCTCAAGGCCCCCCGCAGGGACCATCCCAGCACCTCCCAGAAAACAGCACAGGCCCTGCCTCTGCCTCTCCCCCGTCCGTCCTACCCATGGATCAGAGGACGATCAGAGGACGTTCCTTTCTTTCTCCCGTTTGCTCAGAAGCTTCACTCTAGAATCCAAAGGCTGCGCCGCTGGTGAGTGGCTGAGCTCACACTGAAGTCAGACAGCCCTGGACAAACCGCTCCAAACTCGGGCCCCCTCCTCCCGTGCTCCACACGCAGGATCCTGTGGGTCTGCCATCTAACACGAGCACCACCTGCCTGGGGACCCCTTGCCCCCTGCTGTCCCCTCACTTGCAGCTCCCCACAAAGGGACGGCTCACCTTGCCCCCAGGGCCTTGGCTGGACCAGGGGACACCTGACCCCAGGGGCAGAGACAGAGAGCAGCAGGGACGGTGATGAACCCCAAGTGCTAGCCTGCCCACTCTCTGCTTCCAGCCAAACGCGTGGCGCCTTTTCCAACTCTAGCCACTTCTCCAATTCTCCGGCTGCAGCTAGTTGTCCACGATTCAACCCTATTCTGACACGAACTCCCCGGCTCAGCGCAGACCCCGTGGGACTGCCCCCTTCAGACACCAGCCACCATGGGTCCCCTGGCCACTTGAACTCCTGCCATGGAGTCTAAATTTGGGGGTTTGATCTGAGTCACAGAACCCAGGAAAGCAGTCCACTTACCAACCCTAGTTTATGATAAAGGACACAACTCAGGAGCAGCATAGGGCGAGGGGCAGGGCTCCCAGGCTCTCCGACGCCGCCCTCCCAGCGCCCACCTGTGCTCACCAGCCCGAAGCGCTGAGCCCCCTCATTTTGGGGGTGTTTATGGAGGCTTCACGACTTGGGACAGGTGATTAAATCCCTGGCCACTGGCAATAAGCACCACGCCAGGGGTGGGGGGTGAAAGGTCCCAGCTCTCGCCATGGTTGGGTCTCTGGGACCCCAGCCCCCATCCTGAAGCCCTCCAGAGGCCCAGCCATGATCTCATCAGCATACAGAAGATGCTCTCCCTCACTAGATTCCGTGGGTTTCAGGCGCTCTGTGCCTGGAACTGGGGTAAAGTCCACACGTATCTCTATGATACCAAGGCCCTGAGCTGACCGAGCTCCATATTTCTGTATCCAGGTCTGCGTTTCTTTAGGTACGTCACACTCACTCTGCTCGCCGGGGCGAAGCTCCCACCAACCCTGTCTGTGGGTCCATCTCTGGCTGTGTCCTCCCCACCACCGAGTGGTCTCCACTGGATGGAGCTGAGCCTGGCTAGAGCACCCCAAGAGTCTACTGGACAAAGTGCAAGTCCCCAGTAGGTCCTCCAGGCCCGGTTGCCCCCACCTCTCCAGCCTCACCTGCCAGCCCGCCCACGGGCCACGGGAGCAGGACGGTGGGTTCCCTCGCAGGCCTCCACGCAGCCTTTCGGCCCCTCCTCGCTTGCCCTCTGCCCAGGTGTCCTTCCTGCCCTCACTCCTCACCACCCATCCTCTACTATTGCTAATTCGGGGCTAACCTCCTCCAGTGAATCACTTCTGCATTCCACGGAGGTGTGACGGTCTTCCTTGCACGTCCCTAGCTGGGCTTATAAAATGAACTATGTCGCACACAGAGCATCTCTCTGTGGGCTCTTCTGCCTCCCCAGATGCAAGCTCCATGAGGCCAGGACTGGTCTTCCTCACCTTTCTTGGCACAAAGCCAGGCACAGGCCTGACCCCGGACGGTTCGATGCATGCTCAGGGACAGTTCTGGAAGTGGAAATCGAGTCTACTCTAAGGGAGCATGACGTACTGGCTCAGCTATTTGGACAAGACAGACCCGGGAAACCCCACTGGGTTTGGGCGCCACCAGTAAGCACTCTCTAAACCACCCAACTCTAAGAAGAAAAACCTTATTAAAAAAACCATTCCTCCTTGAACCAGTGACTCCACTTTGGGAAAAGTATTTAGCGAAACAAGACAGGATGAAAAAAAAAGATATTCACAGTAGCCCTATTTTTAACAGCTATAAACAACACAGCCAATGATGGGAAACTGCTGAACAGCCCCCATGCCGAATGCTATCTAGTTGTTAAAAAGGTAAATTAGGGGATGCCTGGCTGGCTTGGTTGGGGGAGCGTGCGATGCTTGATCTCAGGATCGTTGAGTTCTAGCCCCAGGTCAGGTGCAGAGATTACTTAAACAAGTAAAACTTTACAAAAAAAAAAGGCAAATTGGTAGGAAACAGGGACACATGGCTTCTAGAAAATAAATCTGAGAGGGCGCCTGGGTGGCTCAGTTGGTTAAGCAACTGCCTTCGGCTCGGGTCATGATTCTGGAGTCCCGGGATCGAGTCCCACATCGGGCTCCCTGCTCAGCAGGGGGTCTGCTTCTCCCTCTCCCGCTCCCCTTGCTTGTGTTCCTCCCCTCGCTGTGTCTCTCTCTGTCAAATAAATAAAATTAAAAAAAAAAAAAAAAAAGAAAATAAATCTGAGAGAAAGCAGAATATGGAAGTAATTCAAGAGTCCAAAAACAAGAATGGTAAATGAGGGTATCTCCATGCGATGAAATGCTATATGGCTATTTAAAAACGTTCAAGAATATTTAAGAACATGAAAAAAGTACTCAAAATATACTAAATGGAAAAAGCAGACTATAAAACATTATAAAGTGTAGACTGGTTCCTAAAAAAAAATAGTATACACAGTTTTCAGTACATACATCTTCTAAAATAACGGGAATATAAAGCACTCAATGTAGGTTTTTGCACAGATTGGATCATTTAACAATTATCTGCAGATCCTTAGAGATGATTGTTAAAGTTGCTAATTATAAAAACCAGAAAATAGACTTAAAAATTTATCTATATTTAACTTAACCCCTCAGTTAAAACTTTCCCCCAAAAGCTTCCCCTAAACCCTCCTACACTGTTGGTGGGAATGCAAGCTGGTGCAGCCACTCTGGAAAACAGTATGGAGGTTCCTCAGAAAGTTGAAAATAGAGCTACCA